AGCAAACTCCTCTACGTTGCAGCTCTTTCAGGGAGATGCCTTCTTGCCATGCCCTGGAAAAGATCATACAAAGAGAAAGGCCACATAATTGTTGATAACTAGATGATGCCACCTGAGAAGTTAAATTGTACTCTGACCCTTTTTGCCTCCATCCAGAGAGAATATTGGTGGACTACAAAAAACATCTCTCATATACACAATAATATTTATTTATTTAAAAGATTTGTATGGCTGCCCATCTTAAACAACTCTCAGCAGCTTACAACATATTAAACAAGTCTTCTCAAACCTTCAGATGTATTGAACTAGAACACTCATAATTTCCATTTGAAGGATATCAAGTTAGAGAAAACAGTATTAAAAAACCTGAGGCTTTTTTTTTGACACAGTAACAAGGTTCACAGATTGTGCTAAGTAATAACATTTAATCCAGCCATAAATTTAAAAATTTCCCCTTTCTGTCAAATTATAAGATATAATTTGGTAATACGTGGAGGTCTCTAGGGATCCCATCCAAGGCTTCTGTGGACCACATACGGCTGCAGTGCCTTGCACTATGCGCCTCTACTGCCCAGCTAAGCAGCCTGTGAAAAGATGATTGAGTTGCCACTTTGCCACCTCTTCCCTACTTCTATCCTTGTTTTCCAGCTCAATACTTCACACAAGGAACAAATTACATAATATTTGTTCATATCTGCAAATGAACAACAGATCAAGACAAGGTAACAAGTTTAAAGAACAGACAATTTTTAGTCCTGAACAGTTTTTAGAGTATATGCATACATTTAATTTGGCTATAATAAAACATCTGGTTATTGCATTTCTCCAGAAATCAGTTGCTAGATACCCCTGCATTCATATACCTCATGTCAGGCCCAGCCCAAGAACAATGATGAAATGGTCCAGTCAAGTACAGTTCCTTTGTTTGCTTACACCTCAACGACAGAATCTTGCCAAACTAAATCTGTATGACTGCAACTATTGGATATACCCTGGGAGATTCTAGGGAGTGGCTATCCTAAATCTCTTACCCTTCCCACGCTCCCCCCGTGGACTGTGTTGTCTTTTGTCTCCTTCCCCCTGCTAGAAAGCACCCCCTCCTTCCTGATAGTCTTGATCTCCCACATCACTCTCCTCCTCATTCCCTCACACCTCACTGCTCGACAATGCAATGGCAAAGCTCAAAGTCACCCCCTCCACCTTATGTTGTTTATCTGTTTGTAGCTAATATTTCATTTAGTTATATATTGAACTTATACTCCACCACAATCTACTGACTCTTGTTAACATATTGTGTAAACCCAAACAGTAGTTTGTTTGTAGCTAAACAGGTCATAGCTTTTTGCAATGTGTGAATCAAGTCAGTATATTGGTACAGCTGGAAAAATACTCCATTACCAACTATAAGCACTGAGATATTATTGTGTTGGTGGGTAGAAGAAATCTTAAACATATCTCAGCTATTTGCTTTCTAAAAGTTCACTTCAGGGGCTATGCTAAGCAACAAACATAGTATATTGTCTTACTTAATTATTGCAATTCCTTAAACATTATCTGGGTCAATTTAAACAGGATTTTGTCCAGGATGTGGTTCTGAGATTGCTTTGATCACTCTGGTGGATGTTTTATGTTGGAAAGTAGATGGGGGGAGTACAACCCTTCTAGTTTTTCTGGACCTCTCAGTAGCTTTCAACACCACTAACCATGATATCCTTCTGGGCTATCTGGTAGGCTTTGCTGTGGCCCTGATCCTTCCTCTAGGTATGTATCCAGAAAATAGTATTGGGAGACTACTGTTTGACACATAAATTGTTGACCTATAATGACCCACAGAGTTCTATCTTGTCCCTATGCTGTTAAACACATACATGAAATTGCTGGGAGAAGTCCTTCAGAACTTTGGAGTGGGATGCCATTAGTATGCTGATGACACCTGCTATACTGCTCCCTAGCACTGCTGCTTCAAGGCAGAAATCAGTGACCTTGAACATTGCTTAATCTCAGTAATGTGTTGGATGAAAATCAGAAAAAGTTGAACTCAGAGATTGAGGTGAAGCCTGTTTTGGATGGAACTGTATTCCCCACAATATAGCAGGTTTGTGACTTGAAAACGCTCCTTTAACTTCAGCTGTCACCAGATTTGGAGATGATAATTCTGGTGAGGAGCATGTTTGAATAACAACAGCTAGTGTACTAACTGCATCTCTTCCACCAGTTGAACTTGGTGATGATTATCTACACGTTGATTACAGCCCATCTTGACTACTCCAACACATAGGGCAACTCTTGAAAAGTATCCAGAAACTCCATCTCCAGTGGCTAGGCTGTTAACAAGTACATAAAATACAAGAAGTACATGATGCCTGTACTGAGAGATTTGCACTGGCTACCAATTGCCTGCTCGGTACAGCAAAAGGTTCCAGTGTTAACCTTTAAAGCCCTAAGTGAAATACAGCCTAATAATCTTATTATGAACCAGTCCATTACTTAAATCAGCAGGTTGGTCCTTTTTGAAGGTACCCACTTCCAGAAGCTACACTATCTGGTCTGCAGGAGAGGATTTTCTGTTATACCTCAGCTACAGAATCCATTCCTTTAGGAGATGTGTTTGGCTTCCCCCATTTGGGAAATGGCAAGTCATATCTTTGTTGCTAAGCTTTTCATTGTCAATTATTTTTATGGCATTTTATTGATACAGATTTTAAATACTGATTTTAATTGATACTGCTTTTACAGTAATGCTTTATACTTTGTAGTTTTTTTTTAAATTCTACAGTATGCTGCCTTGTTTACACAAAAAGAAAGGCAAGGTATAAACTAAACAACAAAAAGAACAAAGATACTGTGTTTCTCTTCACTCTTCGCCTTAGAGCCTGGGGAAAAAAACAGAAACTATCAACCAATAATTTGCTTCTGATTACTATTTGGAAAGTAAGTCTAGACCCTTCCCAGATGGACAGCACTGAACATATAGTTCTTTAGATGTACACTGTAGCTTTATTATTATGTTGCTTCCCTTCCTATTCAGGAAAGTGTTTTTTTTTTTAATTCAGCATCTAAAGTTTGCTTACTTAAATAACAGTTCAATAAATACTTGACATTCAGATTTGAGGAAGAAAACTAGCATACTACCACAAATAACTAATAAATCAATATTTTGAATCTAAACCATCAAGCTCAACTCTAAAACTTTAGTGGTGCCTATTCTTATTTATATGTGTGTGCGTATGTATATACAAGTAGTCCTTGCTTAATGACCCTAATTGGGACCAGCAACTCTGCCACTAAGTGAAGCATCATTAAGTAAAATATCACATGACTGCCCCACTTAGTGATGGCAGTTCCAGCAGTCCCAGTTGTGGTCATTAAGTGAATCACCTGTAGTTGTTAGGGTGAGACATCACAAGACCACAACTTGTGACCTCCTGCAGGCTTCTCCATTGACTTTGCTTGTTGGAAGCCAGCTGGGAAGGGTGCAAATGGCGATCACATGACTATGGGAAGCTGCAATCATTGTAAATGGGAGGACTGGCCATAAGTCACTTTTTTCAGCATTGTCATAACTTTGAACAGTTGCTAAATAAATGATCATTAAGCAAGGGCTACCTGTATATGCAATGTTATTTAAAACAAATAGCCATAATGTAAGGAAAAAATAACCTTGTTCCAAAATTGAGAATTTGAAAAATCTGAAATTGAGAGGAAAGAAGTAGGAACATTTGGAAAAATTGCTTTATTCTCTGGGCCTTCAGAAAAAGGAACATGTCCAATCAAAAGAAAGTGCCACTGCATTCAATGGATTACAGTAGGTACAGGACTTTAGCCTCTTAAGTCTCTTAGCCAATATGTTATTCTAACTGCCTGCAGCTGTTATGATTATGATTTAGGGAACACATTAATCAGCAACTTCAAAGTAGCCCAAATAATATTTTAAGTCCTTCAAGTATCTGGATTTTATAATGTGTTAATGAGTATTTTCAAATTATTAGTTTGAATAATTTGAGTATTCATGAGTGCTTTCAACTCTGCTACCTAGAGCTAGAAAGATACTGTCTGGGTTCCCACATCATAAACATCTGTGCTATGATTGTTTGGTTTTGGATCAGCATGCTTTGTAAATCCAGTCATTATGGCTGGCAATCTAGTTTATGGTTTAGCATGACATGTAAACAGTGTCACTATTTTTGCTTTATCATTCTGGTCAACTGACCAGCAATACCCTATAAATAGTTATTCTGAAGAAAATACTACATAGGTTTATAGAATTTAGCCCTCACATAGGTAGCTATGTTTAGTATCATTGCAGGAATATAAAAAAAAAATAGTCCTTTGTTTCTAAGCAGACACAATTCTGCAAACGGCAGATTTGCTTCATGATATCTTCAGTTATAAGGCAGGTGACATAAGTACTCAAACAGTGTTTAATTGAATATAGCCCTAGCAAAGGTACAGGCAACCTGCTGCCCTTCAGATGTTTTAGATTACAGCATCCATCAACTCTACCTAATGGCCAATGGTCAGGGGCGACAGAAAGACACCTCAGTTTACCTACTCTTGCCCTAATAAATGTCTTTAAGCCAGCTTGTAAACCAGTACTGCTGGCTAGCGGCAGTTTACAGTTAGGAAACAGATATGTTGAATAAGCATGTTTACGAACGTCAAAATACATAACTTGAATTAAATCACTTCTTAAATAAGTACGCTCATATTTTTGCTATGAGGGCCAAGGAATCCTGAGGAACCAGTTGCCCCTAGCCAAGAGTGATACCTTGCTTCCGAAATCTCGGCCTCTCTTTCCTCCCTTAACAACTCCACTTGCCGGGACACAAACTCCTCCACCAACGCCGCCATCGCTGCCGGCTTCAGCGGATACCCCGAGAACTCCGGTTCCGGAGAAAGTAAGCAATGACGTGCCGACAACGGCCTCTTAAAACCGGGCTTTCGTTGCCCTACGGTCCCTGTAAATCGCGACCCAGGTCGTCCAGGGCTGGACTTCCGGTTCCGTTGGCAGCGCAAGTGGGAGGAAACCCGGTTTAATAATAATGGCAGCAGTAGCGGCGTTTGCCTTTGGTTATGGGCGGCTTCTGACTCGAACAGGTGAGTGGATGATTTTCCTCAATGCCACTGTTTTAAGCTGTCACTCAGGAACTACGATCTTTTAAACCAAGAGTTTGGGGTTGGTCGTTCCCGGGATTGGTTATCTTTTGGTGTTCTTTTTCCATCTTCTTAACGTGGCTTAGCTTTATTTTGTACTTTGCAACCGCGTCATAGTTATTCTTTGTGGTCTCTTTGCTGCTGATCTTAAACTCTAAATCCTCCTCTTCTCCTGCACTGAGTCCTTGTTTACTCTGGCACTTTTCTTTAGACAGTGTTCTCTCCCCCGACCCCATTCCTCCCCAATTATGTTGGACTTCATCCCTGGCCGCCCGAATCATTGAGAATGCTCTGATTTGTAATCTGGAGCATGTGGTGAGTATTAGGTGAGGGAGGGTGCTTCAAATCATGGATTATCTTTGTTGTCTTGCCTGGTTCATTGTGACTTCGCTGCTGGAAACAATTAGGTAATCCTTCTATTATTTATTTTATTTATTAAATTTGTATGCTGCCCATCTCCCTCAGCGGAGTTATGGGGAAACTCAGCCTTTAGGGAGCAAATTATGTTTGGTCAGGTTTTGAACTGCAAAAGCCCAAATGCTTGTTGCATTGTTTTCTAAATTTCAATATAGCCGAGTGATTATATCCTCTGTATTATGTTTGCATCTTTAATTTATTTATATTAGAAAAAACTTTGTCCAGAAACTTTGAAGCTACCTACTTTTGAAGTCTGTTTTAAAACAAATGAGCATAATAATGGTAATACTGAAGTTGCTAATAGCGAGAAGTGCTCTTTTTTACTGTTTTAAACCTTGATTTTATTAATTTAACAGGCAGTATGTAAAATAGAATACTTTAAATATCAAAGAATTTTTCATTTCCAGTTTTGGGTGCTCTGTTTTGTAGATTATAACTAAAATGCTTCTTCATAACTGAATTTTTTCAGTGCCAGATTGTTTTATTTGTTAGCATATGATGAAACCTATTTTAGCTATTCTCTATTCCAACTGACTATTCTGTGATGATTACATTCTTAAATGATTTTATGGAGTCTAGTAGTCAAGGAGACAAGTTTAGTAAATTGCAATTATTTTACCTATAGTATAAATTCACTCAAGGTTATATTTACTGCTTTGTAGCTGTGAACAATGATGGTACTCCAGTGACAGTCAAAATTATTGAGATTCTAGTATTGCCTTACTTTTTCAGGATAGTATTATTTGAATGCCACATAGATATAGGCTAATAAGCATTCCAACAAAGTAAGATATTTGTCACTACATGCTTCTAAAGAACTGTTTCAATTAGTATATGTGCAATTTTTGTTTACCAGAAAAATAGTATTGCATCAGTTGAAGCAATCTTAAACTTGGGGGCTTCAGTCAGCAATTTTTGCTGACTGTATTTCCCCACAAATAGCTGCTATTGTTCATTGGTTATTTATAAATAACTTTTATTAGAATTTCCAAGAGTATTATATAACAAAATATAATGACATTAAAATTCTCAAGAGCAGTAAAGCAGGAAAATCAAATTATATCTAAAAAGCCTAGAAGAAATATTTTTAGAAGATCTTTGTCAGAAGGGGTAAAGTCTTGCTACAGTCAGTAAAGACCTTCTTTGATAGCAGGTTTTCTTACCTTAAATGGCAAATATATTTACAGGAGCCCCATCATTTAAGGTCTGTACATAAAACTACATAAGAAGACAAGGGTTCTTTAAGTTACACCTCAGTAAATAGCTTCCTTTAGCCCTTGGCAATAATCAGTAAATCCTACTCATCTGGGATCAAATAGCATGCCCAGCTAAATCAGTTAAAGACCTAGCAGCTGTGTGCACACAGCATGCCGAAATTTATGACTTTAAACCTTGTTTGTTGTTTTGTCCTTCAGTGTTACATTAATCTAGCCTGTTTTGTTAGACTATGGTTCAGTGTATTGTGCCAAATTAATAAAGGGTTAATTCAGTTCACAGATTGTGTGAACCAGCCATTTAAAACACAGCTGCTATATACCTGAAAGTGTTAGTTTATCAAGTTTTCCTTAAGGGTATTATTACCTCTTCTTCCTGTGTATATTAGAGGTAGCCCAGTTAATTCTCCCCTTCCTGTTTGTAGCAGTATCTTATGCTTCCTTCAATTTTTTTCTTTGATTGCTTTCATATACAAAAGAAAAAAAGAGAAATATAACCAAAAAAAAAGGAATGAAAGAAGGAAAAATACACTTAAAAAGACATAAATGTAATCTTGACCATATGGAATAATACTACTCAGTCATTCCAGTATGTTTGTAGAAACACAATTCATACTGAAGAGTGAGCACGTATTTTAGGATTTAAAATATGGTGCAGCATATTTTCACATCTTTGGCTATACTCTAGTATGTTGCCTTACTGACACCCATGCTGGTTGTCTACCTAGTATCTTATTAGGCCTGCCTTTATATCTGAAGCTATCTATAATTTACATAGGCCAGAAGTTTAACTCAATAATTATTCCCAGTTAAGTGAGAAACTTTATCCTGTTAGATTGTTAGTCAGACCCTTACCTCTGACATCAAAAGACTACAAAGATCTTTTTGGATGAATTTTAAAGTGTTTAAGGAAGGGTAGGTTGATATCAGTAGAATCACTTTGCCCTTCCTTAAACACTCTAAAGTTATTCTTACTAATTCTAGAACTGGAGCATCTTAGTTGTATTAGAATGACTTTTTGTCCCTGATTTTCTTTCAGCCTTTCTGTTGAGGTCTACAGTTCGAAGTCTGAGTGCACAAAACACTTCACCAGTTCGAGGGTAAGATTAAGTCATTGCAGAATATGTTTTCCTTTCTCCTTTAGGATTCTGATTTAGTTTTTGTCATATTTAAATGACAAATTAAACTTTTTAGCCTCAATGTTGTGTAAAGACAGTATATTATTAATTGACTAAAATTTTATTCAGGCAGAAAAGACAATCAAATCATATTCACTGGAAATTGTGCTTCTGTGTCTATGCTAAATTTGAATTATATGAGTAAGTTTCTCAAATCCTTCCTTTAGGATTCCCCACACGCGCCCCCCTCCCATTATTGGGACTTTAGGGGCTTTTGGAGCACTTGTGAATACCTCTTTCTTCTTCCTCCTATGATGTTCTGTTGGGAAGCATAAACCTTTCTGTGCTGTCAGGACTCTGGGAAAGTACCAGTTTTTTTGTTGCAAATGATAGAATATTTATTTATTTATGATAGGTCACTTTAGAGCCCCTGTGTACAAAAGGCAGGCTAGAACTATGTACAACAAGCTAACAGAAGAAAAGAATGACAGTGTGTGGGAAAGCCCATAAAGGTATCCCTTCTTACATGGTGCAGGCCATGTTGTCTTTCTTGCAGTATTGTATGATAAAATCCAGCGCTGTGTAGTTCTGCAAGGACAGAATTACATATTGACTCTAAGACACTTGAAGCAAGTCAAAAGTTGTGTAATACTTTAAATGTTTCCAAACATCTGTAGAAAACTCTTATTCACTTATTCTTAAGAGGCATTTGCTTCTTGCATTTAATTTTCTGGTTTTCTCTTTCCTGGCTTCTTTTATAAAGGTAACAGTCAAGGAAGTCATTGATGATCATCTCCTACGAAATGATCACTTTGCTGCATGTGCATCCCTTTGCTGGAGTGTGCAAACAAAATCTGCAAAATGTTGGTTTTAGTTTGTCCAAACTTAAAGTATGGCTACCAACTTTGGAATAAGCCAGAATATTACATCAGCTTCAAGTTAAGGTTTATTCCTGGATTGTCCCAAAACTCGTAACTAGTTTTCCAATTCAGACAGAATGGATACCTATAGATAATTGAAGCTTCCTGGTTTGCTCAGTTATTTGAGCAGAGGAAAGTATGAAGGAATAATGTCTGCAGCCAGAGGGGTTATTCTTGTCTGGGCTTAGTATGCTGCAATAAATTGTCTAAATTGGCTCATTACCTCAATGCTTGTTTTAGCCAACTGTTGGCTGAAAAAAGAATAGAAAATGAATCTTATGTGCTTGCACCTGAGCCTAATCATGTTTCTTCCTACTTTGATGCAGTTCTAAAGAGTAACCCTTCAACACAAGAGTTTGAACTTGCTCCCAACTTCGCAGTACCTGGCATAAAAGAGATCATACCCAAAAGTTGTAGTGCTCTAAAAATTCTCCCACTGTGTAAAGGTACCCTAGAACATTCATAGTCAACATTGTGGAATTGAGTGGCAGCTAAGCATTAACCTGTATTTGGTGATAAGGGAGAAAACAGATATTCTGGGCAACTTGTGCCAGTTCTCTTCCTGCATACCATGAAGTCGGCCAGTATGAAGCATGATGGAACCAAGAGCAGGAAAAGCAAAAAACAGAGTGCCCTCCACCCAGCAACCCCTTCTAATGGCTCAGGCAAGATGGTTAAAGGAGCTGCTTCTAAAATCGGGATCTTCTCTTTGCCATCCACTTCTCCCATAGCCACTTTAGAAGCTGCCACTATTGGCTCTTCTCCTAAAGCTGGGCCCAGTTTTCTGGATGCAGTTGTCCCCCTGAGTGGTAGCAAAGACATGGATCAGGAAGAGATTCAGAAGGAGCACTATGGAGAGAGGACTCCTTCTCTGCAAATTCCTAACCAAAGTAGAATGGTAGTTTCAGCTGCAGAAGCAGTGTCAAAAATAGAGCCAATCAAGCTTGATGAAAGTGTTGAAATAATAGATCTCACCAGTGACTCTTCAGTGGTTGATCTTACACATAATGATTCTATTGCACTTATGGAAGAGAGCAGACAACAGCAAAACCAAGAATTAAGAAGCCGACTGCTGTCCAACAGCTGTACAGTATGTAATGATGATAGTGAATGTAGTGAAAGTGCTGTGGTGGCTGCCAGTAAATTGCCTAGAGAATTAGAAAAGGAGAGATTTGGAAGTTCAAAATCTTCAGGCGCTGTGAGTTGTCCAATTTGCATGGATGGCTATGCAGAAATTGTCCACAGTGGACGACTTATAATGTCAACAAAATGTGGCCACATCTTTTGTAGTCAGTGTCTCCACAATTCTCTTAAAAGTGTTAACTCTTGCCCTGCTTGTAGGAAAAAACTCAATCATAAACAATGTCATCCAATATATATATGAAAATATGGATGCACCTGGTAATCTAATTTGAGCTTTGTGACTATAAACCTGACTGAAATAAATGTAGGTTACATATATTACTTAAATGTGATAATTAACTCATGGGGATTTTCCCCACTTGGCTGCTTCGTGGTCTGATTATATTATGCAAGGTTAATTTTGCTTTAAGGAGTATTACAGCTCAGTTTATTCAGGGACCAGAGACTCTCATCTACTGAAACCTAAATTAAAAAAACTGCACAAGTAATAAGAGAACTTATTATTTATTTCATTGTAGGTCAGTTATAAACATATTGATAGTCAGGTAGCAAGCAGGTGAAGAATGTAGGGCACTCTTACAAGGTTCATCTTATTAGAACTAAATTAACAAAACCCATACTTGATGGAGAAACTTTGTTATTCAGTGAGAAACTTTCCTTTGTGTTGATAGAACCTAAGTAAAAATACTGAACTCCCAGATGGACAGGATTTATACAGTACTAGAACTCAAATCTCATACTATGTACATAAATATTTTATTTCAATTTTCTTTGGTAGTCTACATTTTCATTTTAATTACATTCATAATAATCTTAATGAGAACTGTGAATGCACATCATCTGCTTGAACTTAAATATAGAAATCCTGCTCCATGCATAGGATTAGCACCATTTTGTCCTTAATACAGCACAAATGGGCAGTTATACAAACCAAATTGCCTAAAGAGCTGCTCTTTCCTACAAATGGTAGTCAATTACAATTTCAAGCCTGTAAGAAATAAGGATACATAAGAAATAGATTTTGAGTGTAAAAGTGATCCTGTTAAATATTTGTAATAGAGTGGTGGATGGCTTGAAGTGGTAATCTAATTTGATCTTAAAAGCCATATCCATACTTATTATAGAACTGTTGTAAAATTAGTTACTGAGGTTATACAACTCCCTCCAGAATACCACTTAATAGCTTTATATAAGCATGGAATTATGAACAGAATTCTGTTTCATGAGTTCTTCTGCTTCTTGAAATTATTATCACAGCTGCCTGAACAATAAATGTTACATGCATTTAAGAGAGTAAAAATGCACTTTTGATACTTGTTTTCGGAACAGATAATATTAGCCCAGTAGTAAGGCAGAATGCTTTAAAAGACCTTCAGATGCTTGGATTATATACTCACATATATAACATTTATCTTCTGTACTGACAATTGCTTTTTTAAACTCTACATGTAAATAAAACTTTTTTGATGTTTTATTAAAAAGGCATTCCATTGCCATACTTTCATCATTTTTCAGATATTAACAATTTCCTTAGAATTGTTTACTGTGGTTTTTTTCCTTCCACTGTAGAATTTATCACAGGAAAGTACTGCTGAAAAATCCAGAGTGGTTCACTGGCAGGGAACTAAATGATGTTTCTTATGACTTAGATTTATTGTTAACTAAATTCTTAATTGGTGTTTTCTAACACCAGTACCAAAATGTAACTTGTGGACAGACAGATAAAATGTATCCTGAAGATTTACATTATAGAACCAAACAATTACAGCATCCTTAAAACTGGGACTTTTTAAAATATAGATCAAAGGTTTCTGATGAGAGTAAGATAGATGCTGGAATGAGTATGCAGGTTTAAGTCAGCAACATTGAAAATTATGTTGTTCATAGCTTCTCTAGAAAATATGTGTTGTCAAAGCTGTCACCTCACTGGAGCAGTTATGTGCCAGTTCTATGAATGTTTATTAGGGATGAGTAAAGAAAGTTAATTATGTTTCCCATTGTCACAGAGTTGTGGCATTCTTTTTGTGGGGATGGTGGTAAAGAATTTTTCTCAGGAGCCCATTGTGCTTGATTTGGTGTAAAACACAGCAAGTAGGATTGTATGGTATTCTGAATCTGAAGGGCAAAAGATGTTTTAGAGCAGATGTGAGCACCTACGTAGCACCTGCCAGCAACTTCTTAAACCAAATAATTTTCATGCAGCTGCCAAGGGCAGCTGAGCGATCCTTAGAAAAGGATACAGCTGTGTTAAGGAGTTGCTGACAGGTTCTGTGTGAGCACCTGGATGTACTGCAAAGCACCCTTTTCCCTTTGAATCCAAAGCATTGCACAGCCCCAATAATAAGGAAGAAGTAGCATGAACATAAATGGAAGATATCTTAAAAAACTGATGACATTTTTTATGCCCAGCAGGTGGCAGCACCTAGGTGATTTTGCATACTCTTGAAAAAGCTAAAGACAGATGTGGTTAGTACACATCTGTACTAACTGAAAGGTCATTCTGGAAGAAAGCAGTGGCAAAATGTTTTGTTGTTGCCACACTGTGTCCATCTGGTCCCCAGAGTTGAATTGAATGAGTCTGCTTGCCTACTTTCCAGGAAACAGGGAGAACATGCCCATCACACTGTAATGTCTCTGCCTAGCCCTACAAATAGCTTTATATACCTCACCAAAGACCTGCCCCCATCACAAAGCCGGAGGAAGAGCAATGTTCTCCTGCATCTTAGCTTCTCTTTATATTTGCCCTTGTCTCTCGACTGGTAAAGCACAAAGGTATGACTGCTTCGCTGCCCTGCATATTTGGTAGGGAACACTGTTCTTGCCATAGCATTAATATTAATGCCCATATAGTCAAAAGCAAGGTAGCTGCTTGATGATATAATTGCCATTAAAATAAAAAGCTGTGCAATTTGGGTACGTAATAATAGCTTCAAGCTCCTTAGTTTAACCAACTTGCCTGAGTTTGCTTCTCAGGCTGAGGTATAAATCAGCTATTCTGGCTGGACTCATACAATGCATCAAGCCATAAACTAGCTGACCACAATTTAGCTTAGCTGCCGCATGAACCTAGACAGTCTGAAGTGGAGTCTGTCAGTTTTTATGAACTGAACACATCCAGTAGCTTGCTTAGCAATAATATGGAAGTAGTTTGCCACTGCTGCCTTTGGGGCAGTAACAGAGAATGGAGCTGTGCACATAGGGCATACCCTGAGCCCCCACTGCATGCAGAAAACAACATGAAGAGGTGAATTGGAGTTTTTGCTGTAGCTTTATTCAGAACTTTAATAAAGCAAAACCTGTGATGGAATGGACTTATGAAGGCCAGGCTCAGGGAGATAAGCATGTTCTTAGCCCCCAACAGGAGTGTGGGAAGTTCAAGAAGATGAGGCTGGCACCTCCCATCAATCTCACCAGACTCAAATGATGTCAGGTTCAGCCCAAAGAACTCCAAGAGACAATGCAAATACAGTTCTGTTGCGTTTATTAGCTTCAACCTCAAGACAGAATCTCACCAGACTCAAA